GAGGGGTCTAAGGAGACATGCTGGCTAAATATAATGTGATCTCTTGAAAAGCAATCTGAAAGAGGAGAAGGACATTAGGCAAAATGAGTGAAATATGAATAAAGTATAGAATTTAGTTATTAATGTATAGATATTGGTTCCTTAGTTTTACAGAAGAACCAGTGTTGGCTCCATAATAATGTATGTTGTTAGCAATAGAGAAAACTGAATGAAGGACTTATGAGAATTTTGTACTATTTGTCAACTCCTCTATAAATCTGGAACTGTTCAAAATGTCAACTCCTTTATAAATCTGGAACTGTTCAAAAACTAAGTTTATTTTAAAATAATACTAACGTTTTAAAAGTATCTAGTTTGATGAAGCAGTTTGATATTCTTTTGAATCAGGGATCTATCTGGATCCATATGTGAGAGGAAAACTTAATAAAAAGGAGCCTGGTAGGATCTGATGGCCAAAAGTACTTGATTAGAACTCAAATATGGCCATTATTAGCAACAGCAAAGGTGACTGTAGGGTGAAGGAAGAGAGAATGAGGGTTTGAAAAAGAAATAAATTATCTCCAAATACAAAATATCCTCACATTTCCTCTAATTCTTCAAGGCCCTTGCTGAGTCTGGCTTCAATAATGTGGCCAGTTAAACATGTTGCTTATTCTAATACCATTACTTTATTTCACACTATCTATATTAATTATAGTAGCTTCTTTCCTGGGTAGGGATTGGGGATGCAGTGGATTACTGCCTGTATCACACTCCCCTCCCTTATACTTCTTGTACATTTTGACCTTCCTCTGTCTATGTTCCAACACCATTCCTCATCCATCCCCACAGCTTCTGTATCCAGAAGAAATATGGATGACTAATTTTCCCCATAAAAGCCATGCCAGTCCATTTGCATCGACATCATATACAGCTATTTATGCTACAATTTCCATCATTCCTTATTTTCATTCATCGCTACTTGTCCTTTAAGACCCAACTCAGATGTTACTAGTCCCATGAAACCATTCTTTGATCTTCCACCAATCTTTCATCTAGACAAGCAAAACCCTTTGTTTGTTTGTTGTTATAGTTATATCTACCTACTTTTATTGCAGTATTTATCTCCCATACCATAATCTCTTTCTTCATAAATCAGTTTCCCCCATTTTAAAAAGCTTTAGTGAATTTATTTTTTTCCATTTCAAATTCTCAGTATATAGTATACCATTTGTTGATCTTCATGAAATTTAATTAGTAGTGTTAAGTCAGTGCCTACTAAGAATAGGATAATCTATCAGGAAAAGGAAACAAAAGGAACACTAAGGCAAAGCCCTAGGCTTTTTATAGTTTAAAATCTTCTTGTTAACTGTTAGAGAGTGTTAAAAGATCGGTAACAGTACAATGAAGATAATAAACCAGAAGAGAGATGTCATAATTAACTAGGAAAGTTATGTAGATATACACTATAGACATAAAGGAAGACTTTACTGTGGAGGTGAGACATCTGACCTTGAAGAAAAGGGAAAATTTAGCTAAAAAGATAAAGTAAAGGGGATAATTCTGGACAGGGGATACAGGTATAAAGTGTGATTTCTGGGAAGGAGAAAATAAGAGATCTTAGAAAGGAAAAATCAATAACTTGCTTTGTGGTTGTATGGGATTAATGACTAAAAGGCAAAGAAAATTCTAAATTGGACCTCTGGGAAAATGATAGTGGTGCTGACCCCCCCCCAAAAAAAAATCAAAGCATGTACTAGTAGATAGTTTTGAAAAACTCTAATTATATCCTGGGGAGAGGACTCCTCCAAGACGCTATACTTGGGTGCCTTCACCCTTAATGGGAAACTGGTGGGGCTGCCATGAAGCTGCAATCTTTGATCTGACCAGGCATTCCATACTAACCCCCATGGCATTGGGGAATTAGGGAGATCTCAGCCCTGCTCACAACTGGGCAGGCTGAGAAGAGACAGCTTATCAAGACCTACTCACTTACCTGGTTTTTCCTACTGAGATAGTTTATGTTTTCTTCTTTAACAGTATATTCAGAATTAATTGGCAGCAGGAATTTTGAATATTTTATACTTTCTAAGAAATTTCAAAGACTGAACACAAATTACAAGGTAAGCATCTTAATAAAGGAAGTAACCCAGTTTTCCTAGATTGTGAAAATCCATTTATGCTAACTATATCGTTATTTGTCAATAGTATCTGTAAGGCTCAATCTTGGTAAATAGATAATTTACCAAGGAATAAGAAAGTGTTATTTGATTGTGACCTGATTCTTTCTGTATATCATTTATCAAGTAAACATAATAATGCTGACTCTCCCCCCATATATTCCTATAATATAAAATGTTGGAAAGTGCTTTGAAGCCCATAAAAGATCATAGGTCAAAATAAAGTAATACCTTTCAGTAGAAAAACGATTGTGCTAAAAGCATCTAGTTTGGTCCAGGTACAAAATCCAGTGTTCAAATGCCTAGATTCCAGCCCTGAGCTGATTATGTATTTAACTCATATTTTCACCAAAAGCAACATGCTAGATCTAAAAAGAAAAGGTAGAACTTAGCAAAGACAGTCCTTTCCATCATAAATCTTGTGGTTTAAGGGGCAAGACATATATGAAAACATATAGTCACACAAAAAAAGATGACATTTAGGTTTCAATCCAGGCTGTGATGAATAGAATTTGGAAGGAAAGTTTATAATAGAACCTAACCAAGCCTGGGGATACCCAAAAGTCTCAGGAAACAGCACTTGATCTAGAAATCGGACGTTATGTAAGATAGCACTTAAATCACAGGGCCCTGCTTTGCTTTTCTGAAAAGTTAGAGAATTTTCAAAGATCTGGACATTCTGAAATCTGTTTCTCACCATCTGATAACTCTAGTTCAGGCATAAAACCCACTGACTGCACCAAGACTTACTTTAAGGCAGGGAAGAGAGATGCACGCTGGCTAATTTTGCCATTATTATTATTATTATTGTTTATTATTATTATTATTATTATTATTATTATTATTATTATCTTAAACTCCACATCTAAGACAGGCTAACTCATGCCTATAGGCAGCCAACTTCTTCTCTGGATGGCAGAGCATATCATTCATATCTAAGGCAGGCTAACTCATCAAGTCAATCTAACACCCAATGGCAGGAGGCCTTTCACTCAAGCCTTTTGGCTCTGGACATTATAGTATGTGATCACATCAGTATGTGATCTCTTGGTTTGAAGGCGATCAACATAGAATGCTGTAATAAAAGCTGGATATATAAAGACAGATGCCTATTTCTGGCAGTGCCAGCCCACAGAGGCCTTCTCGTTCTTCACAAGAAGTTTGAGGCTCTTAGTATGAGTAAAGGGAGAACAGATTTGGATATTTTTGTTATCACAATTTCTTTAAAAGTGGATACTCTTTTTTGGTGAACAAATCAAAATCAAGTATCTGCATGGAAACAATGAGTTGAAATCAATCTATACAAGTGTTAGAAAACTAATCTATGACCTAGTACACACTGCTTCTAAGGAAAAGGTACTAGGTGGACATAGGCAACAGGTTTTTTTAGTCCTTTCTGTAAATAACAAAGGAAACTTATATCTCACTGTTAATGTTGTAACACATACACATAAACACAGGTTTCAGAAGAGGGGAGTAGCCTAACAATTTAGAAATGATATTTTCAAGAATTTCATGAACAAATGAATGTCACAGTTTTTCAAGAACATAATAGAATAAGATATTGGAGTATTTTATTTTACTACCATTTTGTTAGGATGGTTTTTAAAACATGATTTAATAATAAATTTTATCAAGCTTTTGTAATTAATGCAAATGGCATATATTTTTTTTCTTTAATCTGTTCTAAATGGCAAATAAACTTTAGGAATATTCTGATGCTAGTCTTGCCTTTCATTAAATTCAAGTAATTATATTTTTTTAATACACCATTAGGGTCAATTTGCTCTTTTCTTTATAATTTTGGAAACTATTTTCATGAATAAAATTTCCCTTTCTTGTACTGTCGTTAGGTTTTTAACAAGGTCATATGAGTCTCCTACAAAGGAGTGTGTTCCCTCTTGTAATAAACTCATCAAGAATTGTGCAGATATTTAAAGCATTTTATAGGTATCAGGGAAGAATACTAAATATAGCTACGGTAGTCTAAAAAGGAAAAAAAAAATTAAATCTTGAGGGAAATGAACCCTAAAGATTTTCCCTGTACCCATCAATGGCAAAATAGCTGTAGCTAGTAGTTAAGAATAGTATGAATTCTACAACAGTAGGAACCCTACAAGATCACGTAGAAAGGAAACTTTCTCCCTCATTGATAATCTGAATTTACTATAGACCATGTAAATACAGTAAGTGTTTTCCCTGGATAGAAAATAAGGCTAATTAGATTAAAACCTTAAATTATCATAAATGCATATAACACAAACTATAACCATAATGATCAATTTTTCCCTTAAATTATAATGTCCAGAGCCAAAAGTCTTGAGTAAAGTAGAAGTGTTTTAAAATTACAAAAATAAATCTTTCTATAAATTAAATTAGCAATTTTTTTCATAACCAAATAAAGTCTATAATATCTGACCTGGAAATAAGTGTAAATTTTTCCTCAAAAATATTACTAAGGAAATCACTAGAAAGATGAGAATGAAATAGCATAATTTTCTAAAATAGTGAAAAAATCAGACAATGTGAAATTGGAAACTGTGACTTACTAACTCTTCATCATATTTTAAAATTGTAAAAAAAAAAAACTACAATTATCCAGTTTCTTTTAATATATGAAAATACCTCTAATACATAAAGTAATGGAATGCATTTTAATATGTATACTCTGGTTTCTAAAAGTACATTAAATCATGGATAAGGAATATAGAAAAAATAGAACTGATTCAAGTGATTATGGATGATGGATGGCCATTGTTCTTAAACTTTAATAAGAAACTGCTTAATTTCTATGACATTTTTAATAAGTCTCTTATCTTTCTGTTATCATTACAGAGAGCCATGAGGAGTGGGAATGAGACAGAAACCACAGATTTCATTCTCCTGGGCTTCTTCCCTGAATTTAAGCACATCACAGCCATGGCCTCCATCATTCTCCTGATCTACGTGGCTGCCTTCACTGGCAACACTCTTCTGATCCTCCTCATTTGGTTGTATTCCCATCTCCACACCCCCATGTACTTCCTTCTCAGTCAGCTCTCCTTAATGGACTTGACTTTGACCTCTAGCATTGTCCCCATGATGGCAGCCAACTTCTTCTCTGGATGGCTGAGCTATCATTCATGGCTTGTGGGACTCAAATTTTCTTCTCCCTGACTGTAGCCATTGCAGAATGCATCCTTATAACTCTCATGTGCTTTGATCGTTATATGGCTATATGTGATCCTCTCCGATACCCAGTCATCATCAATCCTAAGGTTTGCTTACAGATGATTGCCATGTCTTGGGCTGGAGGGGCACTTACTTCCCTGGGCCACACTGCTTTTACCTTGCATTTTAATATCTGCAGCCCCAGAGAGATTCCCCTCTTCTTCTGTGAAGTCATGGCTATGCTTAAGATCGTCTGTGAGGATATCACAGCCTATGAGAAGGCAGTGGTGATAACAAGCATCGTTGTTCTGCTGCTGCCCTTATCTCTTATCTTGTCTTTCTATGTTCTCATCTTCCTTGCTGTACTCCGAATGAACTCACCAGAAGGCAGGAACAAGGCTCTGGCCACCTGCTCCTCTCATCTCTGTGTGGTGGGTCTCTATTTTGGTCCAGGTATGTGCATCTACATGAGACCCGGTTCTGCCAAGACTCCAAAGTTGAATGAGGGTCTCTTTCTGTTTGGAACTGTCCTCACTCCACTCCTAAATCCTCTTGCCTACAGTCTTAGGAACAAGGAAGTTCTAAGTGCACTGAAAAAGTTAATGGGGGAGGTGTCAGTCCTCCAGGTAAATGGCAGAAATCCCATTATCACCCATAGGCAAAACAAAGATGCACCAGCAAAGGGGCATTTTATCAGTTAAAAAAAAAAAAAATAATAATAATAATAATAATAACCCCTTCAAGATCCTGGAAAAGTCAACTCACTTTACTGAGTTTATCTGCAGGAAAAAAAAAATGTTTATCCTTTCCTTTCTTCATCTTAGAATTTCTTTTTGATTGTCCTAGATGATGTGCTGATGAAGGACAAGGAACTGTGTACAATTCTCTTCATGATTCATACTTGATGGTAATGTGCTCTTTAGTATTTCCAAAAGTTTCATGTTGATTCCATGAAAAAAGGTCAGTGTCTACATCCCTAGAATGAAAAAAAAAAAAGTACCAAGCACATAGATACCTCAGGATAATTCCCTGATAAAATTAATCAATGGGCATGATGATAAATCATCAGGAATCAGACAAATTTACCAGTGTTGTTTTGTTCTATCTAACAGGACTATTAATTCCTCTTACTCCTGTAAAAATAGTCTTCACTCTATGTCAGTGTTTCCAAAGAGTGGTTTTCTGATCACTTGCATTAGAATCATTTGTTGACTTCACAAAATATACCACTTTTGTGACCATCTCAGATTAGCAGAATTAGAATCTGTTAAATTCGGCTCAAGAATCTGACCATCAGGCCATTTAGTGATTGTCATGTTTACCAAGGATTGTAAGCCCCCGATGTAATTATTGACCTAATATTCTAGACCTGCCTTGCAAAATAAATTCCCAGTCTTAAAGTTTCCTGATCTCTTTATAATGTATGTAATAGAATGTGTTAAGGTGGCTAGCAAAAATTAATGTTATTTTTAAGATAGTAGAAAATAACTTGATGTTTGGAATATTTCATAATTTAAAAATTTTGAGCACACAGAGTAAACAGAAAGTAAAAATAAAGAAAAAAAGACTCAGATTTGTGATATAAAAATATGAATGATTGAAAATATTTATAACACAATAAAATTTAAAGCAGGAGACATTATAGGTGTTTCCAAAATGTTGATATATTTCAAAAAAATTGAAAATATTCTGTATAACTAGAACACTAGGAACTTATTACATGTTTCCTTTTAAAAAAATGAAATAGGGGCGCCTGGGTGGCTCAGGTAGATAAGCTTCTACCATGGCTCAGGTCATGATCCCAGGGTCCTGAGATTGAACCCCACATCAGGCTCCCTGCTCAGCGGGGAGCCTGCTGCTCCCCCTGCTTGTGCTCTCTCTCTCTCTCTCTCTCTGTCAGATAAATGAAATCTTTAAAAAATGACTGAAATAACATAAAAACAGTTTTTCCAGTGAAAAGGAAACCCTCAGAAGGAGCACTAACATTCTAACAACTTCTCCCTTAAATATCTCAGAAGCCATCAATTGACATTGTATTACAGAGATACAAAGCTGAGTTCCGGAAAACTTAAAATCTTTATGTCAAATTTCAACTGTGTCAACAATATTAAACATGGTCCTTTCAGAATTCCTAGAGGAATGGCTGAGGGAATTCTTGAAACCGAGTCAAAATATCACTTCACTGAAGAATAAAAATTATCTCTAAGCCATCTCAAATAAAAGGAGTATGTCATTTAATGGATACTATCATGGGCTGTTACTACCCAGATGGTGTTGTCATAACACGCTGGTACTCCAAAGGGAGTCCTCAGATAAGACTGTGTTTAGAAGATGACACTAGGAAAGAAGGGAGAAATACTCAATGAAGGAAGATAGTCTACTTGAGGAGTTTCTGTTGAATAATATGTGTTCACAAAGCATGTTATTTATGTTTGACAGTTTTAATAAAGAGTTCTATTTTCATATGTAACTCATGGAAATGAACATTTTCACCCTGTGAAACTGACAGCAAATAGATTTCCAGATGGACTGGGAAGACACTCATCTTGGACTTTAGACTACGTGTTTGTGACCCATATTTGTTGGGGGAGCACCATTGCATACTATGACTTAATCTTTTAGGGGAAATAATTAAAGAAAATAATTAAGTACATGATCATTCAGAAGAATTATGATGCACTCCTAAATAAATCATGGTTCTTTCATTTATTTCCATTCTCATATTCATGATTTTAAATTTCCTCCCTCTAATTTAAAAGCTCTCCAACATGCATATATTTTGTTGTAGAACAACCTAAATGTCTTCTATATATAAATAAAATATTTATTTATTTATTTATTTATATTCAAGTAGCCAAGTTATAGTACATCATTAGTTTTTGATATAATGTTCAATGATTCATCAATTGAGTACAACACCCAGTATATTTTTTAAAAATCAACCATATTGGGGCATCTGGATGGTTCAGTCATTTAAGTGGCTCCCTTAGCTCAGGTCATGATCGGAGGGTCCTGGGATCAAGCCCCATGTCTGGCTCCCTGCTCAGTGTGGAGTCTGTTTCTCCCTCTCTCTCTGCCCCTTCCTCACTGGTGCTTGTGCTCTCTCTCTTTCTCTCTAATAAATAAATGAATACATAAATACATAAAATCTTTTTTAAAAGTCAACTACATTAATAAATACATTATGAAAATAAAATTTTGTAACTGAATAAACTGTTTTAAGATGGAAACTAGAACTCTATGGGAATAGGATGTAGGAAAATGAAGTTTTTATGGAAGAGACAAGATAACCACGATTTCAGGTGTCCAGAGACTCTGAGATGCTACAAATGGAAATGGACATTAAAATGGAGCAGACAGGGGACCGGAGATATTTGAAGAGAAACACTTTTCAGATGGTTCTCGGACTTGAGACAGCAGGATATAAAAGTAACTATGGAAGTCATCTCACCACAAGAAATTAGCTGAGACTTTTTTTGACAAATTAGAGCATTTAGATTGTAATCACCAATTCTACAACTTGCACATAAAAAGTCAAAGACATACAAATTTACATATGAAATATCTTGAAAACTAAAATCCCTATAGCACATGAGCAATTGGTCAAGGTCTTGCTTTTTCCAATAGTTTTAGAGCAGGCCTCACTAACCCCTAAGTTCGAGTAGAGAAAATCATGGCAGAAGACAATGTTTTTGTGGTGACAATTCAATGATTTTTTGTTGAGGTATGAAAAAGCATCAGAGTTTCTTCCTGCATATTCAAGTGGATATGACACTAGAGACCATGTTTGTTCATTTGTTCAAGAAATTTTTTTTGAGAACCTACTATATGGCAGGCACTGTTTTAGGCACTGGAGCTAAAGCAGTGAAAAAAAGAAAATCAGTGCTTTCATGGAGCTTACATTCTACTTGGGGAACATAAGAAATAATAAATACTCAATATGTATCATGTTGATAAGTGATATGAAGAAAAACGAAGCAGGGAGAAAAGATAGAAATAGATGTATTTTTATGTAGTATGGTCAGGGAAGGTATATCTGCTTAGGGGGCATTTGAGTAGAGACCTTAATGAGTAAAGGAGGAATAGTACATTCAGAGAAATTTTGTTCAAACAAAAGAAAGTTAACAGAAAGACTTTGGGGATAGAAGTGGGCACAGCATGTTCAAGTGATGCTGATGAGGCTGGTGTGGTTGAAGGAGTGATAGAAGACACAGTCAGAGAGAATCATGGGCAAGTAATCTATGCCAATTAGAAAAAAATATTGCAATATTCCAAGTGAGAAATGGTGGAAGTTTGAACTTGAAGCAATATCTGGTAAGGAGATGTGGCCCAATTCTGGACATACCTCAAAGGTAAGCCAGCATGATTTGTTGAAGAATTGGTTGTGAGAAGGATATGGAGGAGTCAAGGGCAGCTCTGAGGGTTTGGCATGCAAAACTGGAAGAACAGCAGTCTTAATTCTCTGGACCCAAAAGGAAGACGTATTATTTCTGCTTCACAACTCATTGACAGATCTCTTGCACTGGCCTCGGGAGAAGAAGCACCTAGATGCTGTGGGTCACTGACATGGGTTCTGTGTTGGTTAGTCTGTGTTTGACCCTACACTCTTCTGAACTGTGTGGACCACTACCCAGGCTGCCTCACCCCAAGTCCCTTGTATTCTGGCTTCCTGTTATATTTGATCTGTGAGAGGCACCTGAAGATCAGAGGGAAGAGGGAAGAGTATTTATGGCCCTACTTCAACCAGACTGGGTTTGAGGAGTGACTGCATTCCTTCACCAAGGTCATAACCCCTTTGGGCAGATCTCTTGGTTCTGTACATACGACTCCATCCCCTCCAGATAAAGGGAGGTTATGTTACCACTGCTAGTACCTGGCTGTTTTACTCTCTGTTGTTTCCCACACCCTGCCCTACTTCTGAACATCATATTTTCATCCTTGCTCTCTTCCTTGTGGTTTCATGGCTTTCTTTAGTATTATGCTTGGATTCCTTTCTCTTTAATCTTTCTGTATCTATTACAGGGTGTTTTTTTTGTTTTGTTTTGTTTTGTTTTTTGTTTTGTTTTGTATTTTTTTTAATTTTGTTTTGTGGTTGCCTTTGAGTTCATATATAACATCTTATGTGTATAGAAGTCTATATTAAGTTGGTTGCTGAAGTTCAAAGACATTCTAAAAGCACAAAATTTTTACTGACAACTCCACATTTTGTACATATGATGTCATAGTTTACCTCATTTTATTTTCTATATGTCTTGATGAATTTTTCTATATTTATTTATTTTTTTTTTTAATTTTTTTATTCTTATGTTAATCCCCTTACATTACAACATTAGTTTTAGATGAAGTGTTCCATGATTCATTGTTTGTGCACAACACCCAGTGCTCCATGCAGAATGTGCCCTCCTAAATACCCACCACCAGGCTAACCCATCCTCCCACCCCCCTCCCCTCTAGAACCCTGTTTGTTTTTCAGAGTCCATCGTCTCTCATGGTTCGTCTACCCCTCCGATTTCCCCCGCTTCATTCTTCCCCTCCTGCTACCTTCTTCTTCTTCTTCTTCTTTTTTTTTTCTTAACATATATTGCATTATTTGTTTCAGAGGTACAGATCTGAGATTCAACAGTCTTGCACAATTCACAGCGCTTACCAGAGCACATACACTCCCCAGTGTCTATCACCCAGTCACCCCATCCCTCCCACC